TTCTTGGGTGATTTCTTCATCATATACTTTTGAGAGGTCAGCTTTTTTGTTCCAGGCATCTTTGGATATTTCTTAGTATTCCTTTTTAGGCCTGTGGAACATAATAGAAGTCTTTGGCCTAGAGTTGTTGTATTTGATGATTTGTAGATGTTTGGCTCGTGTGGTAGCCTGAAACTTTGTACCCAAGATTTATTATAGTGGAATATTTGTTGGTGGTGGTCCCGTGGTTTTGGGGTTTTCCACGTAAATCTTGTGTCCTTGCATTGTTATTTATTTTTGGCTATTGTGTATCATCTTGTGTTTGTGCTCCTGTCGGTTCTGTGATTTTTCATTGTCGCAGGAAGTGGGATTTTCCCAACAATGTTTGGATTAACTTTCGGCTCTTGATCGTTAGGTACTATTGATTGCCTTAATTACATTGACTCCTTAACCGTTATAGACTTATAGTAATGTTTTGAGTTGAACTTGAGATCCATGTAATTATCTAATTATCTCATCATCTTATAATCGGGCCGGGTTTAAGTAATCTTATCACTAGAATAAAATGTTACATCATTTCATGAAAATGGCACACATACAATAAGATTTTTTTTCAGTGCAATGATACTCATCATTGTATGGTCACAATGATGCTATATATTTTGTTCTCATTATTGACATAGACATTACATAATTGTGAATTATTACTGTCGTACAAGAAACTCTAACTAAATAAAATATATAAAAATACAAACAATGCATGTCGCATGTACAAAAATTTTGTTTTAATGCTTTAAAATAATTCCCTTCAATTAATCTATGACAATACTTATCAATTCATAAATAAAAAAGAATAGTGACACTAATTGGTGGGAGGGCTACTGGAACCATAGTAACATGTTATTACAGGTTATTAACATATTTTTGGGCTTCAATACATCAAAATGTCATATTTATGAGTTTAATTGTAACTTTCTAAAGTTTAGGGGCCTAATAATTGACTTTTTGAATATAGTTTATGGACTTATTTGACGCTTTTATCTTTATTTTTTTGGTATTAATTTTCAATGGATATCGTCAAGGCGTCAAAAAGTTATAACCCATGTCACAAATCATGTCATTTTATACAGTATTTTAATACAAATAGCACTTTTAAAAAAAAAAAAAAAAGGCATAACCCTACATTTAACAAAATCAATGGGACATTGACTATGGTATGGAGTCCACCATTGCAAAACCAATGGTTTGTTTTTTTGTTATAATTTTGAAGTTGAAAAAATCAAATTATAAATAAAATAATAGTTTTATGCCCCTTTTGTCCTCCATTTTTTGTAGGGGTCATAATCTATGTACCACAATTATTGTCTAGGTGTTCTACTCCAACTAATTGTATGGTTCTAAGACTTGTCCACTTTTACATGTCCATCCAATTCTTACTTATCTTATTTCCCTGTTGGGCAAAAAATCCAAGTCTCAATAATTTCCACCAATCTTACCAAATCCTTTTAATTAATTTCTATTAATTTACACTGACAAAATTCAACTCTCAATCTTTTGTCATTATTATTATTATTATTTTTAAATAGACTTGATAAAATTTATATGTGGTGATATAATATATTATTATTATAATTATCTTGACTTAATTTGTTTTTTTTCAAAGTCTTTTAATATATTACATAAGTTGTCACGAAAATCAAATTATAAAGTCATGTCAATAATATCAGATCTAAATTATTGTAGTCGGCAAAATATTATATATATCTAGTTGATAGTCAATTACATGCAAAACACAATCACTAATTAGTTGGTTGATTAACCCATTGAAACTTCTCTACTTCATGCAAAACAGCTGTGATGGCAATTGTGTTGTTAATATATTTATTTATTACTAAATGAAGATATTAATTATACATGCACTTTGAATTGATTGCTAGCTATGAAATATGGGGTAAGTAGCTAGGTGTACCAAAGGGGCTCCACACTACAAAAAGGACTTTATATGGAAAAGTAAATTCTAAAACTACCCTTCATAGTGAAGTAGTGATACATAGCACCTTACAACTAAAAGCTTATGTAACAAAATTGTATGATAATGCTTGCAAGCTTGCATCAACTTTAATTTCTATACATTGTCAATATGCAATAAAAAGGGCACTCAATTTTTTTTTTTTATTGTATAGTTGCATGCATCTAGGTAGTAAATATCTATCCTAAATAGTCAAATTTACTAGATGGTTTTATGTATGATATTGTGTTGAAAGAAATTTGATTAAGTTTCATATATAAAAACCATATGATGATGAGGAGTTGTAGATTTAATTTTTAATTTGTATTGACAAATTCAAAATATATGAATTTGTTTTTTTTTTTTTTTTTTTTTTTGAATGCTATTGACTCTATTAGAATGTACTATCTGTTCATACATACTTTCTCAGTCAATGCTCCCACCACACTGAGATTTGAATTTGAGACCCGCTTGACCACAAGACTTTTGGCAAGAATTCGTTTCTTTAATTTATATACTTTTTTGAAACAAAACAAGCAAATGCCATTATTGAGAGCAAAATAAGGCACAAATTAAATACAAAGAGAAGAAATGAATTTCCAAATTTTGGACCAAACTGAGAACTCGTACAGTCGTACGTAGTCTTAGTAACAATATGAGCTACAAGATTCATTAATCTCTTAATTTAACATGATGAAGAGATGAACAATGACACTATCAATAGTATGAATTCATTTACTTATATATTTAATTCTTAAGATCAAATTAATTTTAATTGAATAATGTTTGGTCTTTTTATCTATTCATTTTACCATTGAGTATTTTTGTTATCACAACAAATGGAACCTAATAAGAATCCTATCAAATGTTTACTTTGTAAAGGCATATGTTCTTAAACCTAGCTATAGTGGCATGTGAATTGTGTTGTGATGCTAGATTCTTGGTGCTTATTTTGTCCACTTAAGTAAAAAGTGAAAAGAAAGCAAAAAGGTACATAAATATAGATCAAAGTGCACCTACAAGATTGGCTTACAATCATATATCGTCAAATAAAGTCCCCTCCTTCCCCTAAGGATTATATTGTTGAAAAATGGATACCTATTTGGAGTTCCATTATCAAGTGTAGTAATCCTATCCGATCCGTGCAAGCATTAGCCTCTTTATGAATGTGTCAAACCGGCCCGCATGAGCAGTTCAATTGGTCATAGAGGTGAAAGTTGGAAAGAATGAATGTGTCAAACTGAACACGCGCAATTTCATTATAATAACTTTTTAATTACATGATGAAGAAAATAAACATGAGAAGCCATACGTCATTTTCTTGCCAATTTTTTTTTAAATGTTAAAAGTCTAGCAAGTCTTTATCCAAATATTTTAAATGTTAAAAGTCTAGCAAGTCTTTTATCTTACTTAAAATCGTTGGAAACTAATGAAAAGTTTGAAGACTAAAGAGTCAATCCAAAAGATTCAATAATCCATTATTTCGTTTGGGCAATTACTATGCAACTTCATCTCTCTCTACAAACACATATAGAATTTGAATTAAATAAGAATGTAGCTTTAGAACACAAGTAGCTAGGAACTAATTATAGTTGTCGATCTAGGAATATCTAACAACTTTAAAATGAGGAGATATGGAAAAATAGTGTCATTTTGATAAATAACTCAAATTTTAAGTCCAAGTAGCAACATCATAGAGTGCACTTAGCAACACCAAAGAGTGCATCACATGATATATATATATATATATATATATATATATATATATATATATATATATATATATATATATATATATATATATATAGTGTTAATAGTAGTCAAATAAGTCAAAATTGGCCTATAGACTAACTATTTTACCAAACAGGGCTACTATATTGTTCAAAGTAAAATTAAACATTTTTTTTTCTGTGTAACCCATGATTTTCACATCGAACACAGTGACTAATTTCATTGTTAAACTGTGTGCACCTCTAAAGGTGAAATAGATGGTTTGGTGATTTAAAGTCGCTCCATATCCAAGGTCAAGAATCACCTTTTGACATTTTGTTAATTAAGGATTGATGAGTTCATTCTAATCAATTACATCATCAAGTTAAGTAAAATTAAATATTGATTAGTCAATTACTTAAGCTACCCAAGAATGTTGGGTCAATTTATTTTTCACCATTAATGATTGTTTGAATTGTGCTAGCAAATTAGTGGTCACAAAATAAATTGCACATTTATAAGTGGTCAAATAAGGGGAAAAAAAAGTTAAAGATGACTGATGACGTATAAATTTTTTAAAAAAAGTTTGATATAATAATGAAATAAAACTTAAGATGACGTATTTTAGGAAGAAAATATAGCAGTGAATCAGTGATGTTACAAGTTTAGAAATATTCTATAATGTCAAAAATATATGGTATTTAGAAGAGTTAATTTTACTGGAGGTCTATTGTTTTTTATGGTAATTTCAAATTTAGTCTCAGACTATCATTTTTGTCATTTTACATTCCAGATTATCATTTTTTGGACATTTTTAGTCCTTATCATAATTTTTTCTATTTTTAGTAAGCGCATTTTTGTCTCTTCATATTTTTCCGGTTTCAACCAATTTAGTTGGTTTAGGACTTTACTAAAAATTGGTTGAAAATATGGTTACTAAAAATCAGAGATTACCTAAAGTTCTAAATCAATTAAACTTGTTGAAACCGAAAAAATAACAAAAGAAAAATATGAAAATACAAAAACGCTCTTACTAAAAATAGAAAAAATCATGAGAATGACTAAAAATGTTTAAAAAATAATAGTCTGGGGTGTAAAATGGTAAAAATAATAGTCCGAGACTAATTTGAAATTGCTATAAAAAACAAGGACTTCCGGGGGAATTAACTCTATTTAGTAGAAATGAAAATGGTAAGATTTACAAATCTCCATAATTTATCTTTTTATTATCGTGTGAGGTTTATGAGAGAATAAATTTCACTTTGTGATATTTTTAAATTTTTTTATTATCGTGACCATAATAATTTAGGTGTATATATATAGCCATCTTCCCCCATCCATTTGTCCTCCCCCACACACACACTCCTTCCTCATTTCAAGGAGCATTCTTTACTCCTCCGTCTTACAAGTGGCCACCGCCAACCGCCGCCGCCACCCATCACCAGATCTCCTCCGCCGCAAAATTTTTTTATAAAAAAAATTGTTTGAAAATGCCTATTGATGTTATGGGTCAGCCCAAATTTGTGATTGAAGCATCAGAGGCGGAGTCCATGGCCCAATCAGTGGGCCTCCCCGGCGTGAGCCACCTCCTTCCGGCTCTCGTAAAGCCGGCGCAGGCACTCGCCCGCCCGCCCATCTCCAACTTCCCCGTCGCCGCAGTTGGGCTGGCCTCCGACGGGCGTGTCTTCATCGGAGTCAACGTCGAGTTCCCGGGGCTTCCCCTCTCGCACTCCGTCCACGCCGAGCAGTTCCTCGTCACCAATCTCCTCGCCAACGGCGGGCCCCGCCTCGTCTCCCTCGCCGTCTCCGCCGCCCCCTGCGGCCACTGCCGCCAGTTCCTGCAGGAGCTCCGCTACTCCTCCTCCCTGCAAATCCTCGTCATCTCCCAAACCAAAGACGACGACTCTGACGTCACCTTCAAACCCTTGTCCCAGTTCCTCCCCAGCCATTTCGGACCGTTCGATCTTCTCGACCACGAATCCCCTCTGCTCCTCGAGCCTCACAACAATGGCTTGTCCCTGAGCGACATCGTCGCCGCCGACAATTCGATCCTTCTGAAGATTTCGGCGCTGGAGGCGGCGAATGAATCGCACGCTCCTTATAGCCATTGCCCCTCAGGGGTGGCATTGATGGATTGTGAAGGGAAAGTATACAAGGGCTCTTATACAGAATCCGCCGCTTACAATCCCAGTCTTGGGCCGGTTCAGGCGGCATTGATCGCCTTCATAGCCGGAGGGGGCGGCGGATATGAGCGGATTGTGGCGGCTGCGCTGGTGGAGAAGGAAGATCCAAAGGTGAGGCAAGAAGACACTGCTAGCCTACTCTTGAAGGTCATTTCTCCCAAGTGTGAATTCAAGGTTTACCATTGCCCTTCTGATGCAAATCTCTGTAAAAAGGCTTCACCTTGAGTACTCAACACCATGGAATATAATTGTATGTTCCCCTCCCCACTGTAAAATACCAATCTATGTGATGATGAATCAATAAATGGAATAACAAATTTAACACAATCATTCTTGCTTTTTTCGAGTTACGAGGAAACCAGCCGACGGCAAAGGACTACAGGTAAACCAGCTTAGATTGTCCATAGCTGATCGGCTCGAACCATTGATAAGCTCCTCTCATTAGGGTTTGAACTTAATTGTAATCTTGTGGTAACCAAGAAGGCCAATAGGTTGTTTTCCCGTTAAGAGTAGAACTTGTAACATTGTAGTTACCAAGTCAGTCAATAGGATCAATTTGGCTGGAATTGCCCTTCAAAAATCATCTTTTTTCAAGAATTTTTTCTTTCTTTGTGTTTGAGTATTATAATTGCGGAGTCTTAATTATTGTTGTGGTAGCTCAAGAATCATGTTGATTGTCCTACATGAACCAGCTGGCCTTAGACTGGCAATTTCCATGTTTGAATATGCAAATATGAAATATCTATGCTTTTTACTGTTCTGTGTTATGGTCTAGGTATGTGCTTTACTATAGATAGCTGTTTTAAATTAGATTCAAGACCTAATCCTTGAATAAAGTATTGCAGAGACCATACCTGCTATTCTTGAGACTGTATGGTGGGAAAGATGCTGGCTTTTGATTTTGATTTTGATTTGTTGTTTAATTAATGCTTCTTTCGCTATTGTCTTGTCTAAGCAGATTTAACTTTTTTGTTAGAAGTAGACATGTTAGAAGCCACATAACCTCAGGATTAGCTTGACGTAATTCTGCAGTGCACATAAATCTTGACCAACTTAAAGTTTGAAAATTATGGAGAAAAAAACTGTATAATACAATCAGCACTAAGTTACACCAATGGCAAAGTTAGTGTCAGCAACAAATGATTTCATTAATCATTACAATCAAAAAGAAGAAAAGCCAGAAGAAGCAGTTTCTATCAAATTCACCTTGCCCCCGCCTTCCTCCTGGTCAATGGGCGCAGAATTATCAGCAGCACCAAACGCCCCGTGCGCCACCACCGAGGCGGTCCCGAGCGCCAGCGCCACCACCACGTTCGCGGTGGCCGTGGTGAGCAGCAAGGCCGTTGTGAAGATGGACAGCACGACAAGGACGACGCGCTCGTCCACGGCGTAGCCCTTAACGACGAGCGGCGTGTCGCGCAGGAAGTAGAGGTAGAGCCACGCGGCCATCATGAAGGTGAAGACGATGAGAGACCCCGGCTCCCATAGCAGGCTGAGGAAGACCACCACGAGGACGAGGATGGCATAGTTGGTGTAGAAATAGGAGACGTTTCCTTTGAGGCGTGAGAACGCCATGGCAAGGGTGCGCGGGGTGGAGAAGGAGATTACCATCTCCTTCCATGGCCGCCGCGTGGCGAGGAAGCCTGATCTCGCTTCCGCTCCATTGTCTGATGTCGGGATTGTGCCATAGGTTGTCGTCATTTCCAACCACTTCTGATTTGATTTGATTTGATTTCCTCACGAAAATGGTGAGGGAGGGGGAAAGAAAGGGAGATTGGGAAGGGGAATTGCTCCCTTTTGGTCTTTCATTCCCAGAAATTTTCTCAAACATTGACACATGTTCCCCACATTTGTCCATTCCTTTATTAACTCAAAACAAAAATACATACTATTTCTACCACCATAAAAACAAGTTTTAAATTTTATTAAAAAAAAAAAAACCACAAAGTCTATGCTCCAAAGCTGTGTAGTTGTGGAGCTTATTATCTATAAATATTGCCATTCAAAGCAACAACAAACATGAGAAGGTGTAACATATACACAAAAATTTCGAAACAAAACAAAGCTAAGAACTAACTAACAGTGGTTCAGAGCTCAAATTTTCCAGTTGGAGGAACATCACCTCTCATTACTCTCCAAGGGCCACCATAAAACATCGGTTTCATAAAAGGTACCATTTCACCAGGATGATCCTCCCAATACTTCTCCTGATCATCGGGGAAAAAAATAAAGGCTCGGCTCAACTTACACAGAAACAGTAATGCTATAACTTATAGAGTTGCTATAACTAAGACAGAATATTTAGGATTTCCTTCAATGCTATAACTAAGACACACTGGCAAACCTAGGAACAGAGAAAGAAATATGGTTCCTTATAATAAATTTCGTTGTGAAAACAAAAACTGATTATGGGGGGGGGGGGGGGGGGGGGGTGGTAAAGAAAAGACGGTGTCTGAAATTATGGTCCTGAGGAAGTGAAGCTGGGGTACCTTATAGAGTTGCTCAGTGATGGCTGCACCAACGACCCCGGTATAAAATGCACAGATGTAGATTGTGACAAGCGGAGTAAATGATCTTGGTCTCCTGTATGGCTCAACCATGTCCCAAAGAATCGTCCTTTCCCATTTCGTGTACAAATACTCTGAATATTTTCTAAACAAATAGGACACCATTTTCAAGCTGAGCTGCAAGAGGAAATATTCATTCAATTCGAGAACAGATATCTTCCAGATATGCAGGAACTAATGACCCAACTTCTAAAGAAAGTTCACAACGCAATGTAGAAAAGCTTCACCTAAAACCTGTCGGCAAATGCAGTAGCTAACGACATTTCTCAATTGTAAAATATAATCTATCAATGCGAATAAAAATATTTCCAAATACTGTGACTAAATTTCCGAGTAACTCAAAAAATTTGCATTAAGAATGAACCAATAAATTGTGACTTGGTTTACAAGCTGCCAGATTTAAACCATAATTTCAAGTAATGCCATATCTTGTGAGTTAGCACCTGGTTTTAGTCAAGCAAGAAGCTTTCTGAAACAATAATCAGAGATAGGATTAAGGATTCACTAAATTTTATAACTTTTTTATGATCCATATGACTTTTTATCTTGCTAGATACTCCATATATGGTATAGTAGCAGGCTAGCAGCACAACAAAAAACCAAGGTGGACTACTCAAATCTCAATTTATGTTAAAGAATGATTAATTGCTGTTAATCTAACTATAAATTAACACAGTTTAAATACCATAAGTTAATTGGCAACCGGAAAACTATGTGACATTTCAACAAACAGATTGTGTGCATTTGGCTTCATCCATTACTAGCATAAAAAGACTATATTTTTCTGAAAAAAAAAAAAAAAAAAATCTGTAATCACAATTCTCAAATGTTCTGTTATATGAATAAGCAAATAAGAAGGAGGTACCTAGGATGCGATTCACTTGATAATTGAAGGTGGAAAGTTGGGTTTGGGTCTTTGTGGAGTGCCGGCAGCAGAAACCCTTGATGGAATAATTGGAGGAACAACAGCAAACGACGTCGCTGTGTTGGAAATATTTTTTTTTTTTTTTGAATGAAAATAATTTATTGGAAAACTTCTTCATAATTCATAAATGCATGTATACTTGTATTGAGGATCGTGTCGCAAATTGCAGGTGTATATATATAGCAGTAATATTTTAAAATAAAAAATAAAAAAATTAGTGAGGGTCATTGCCCTGTGTTAGCTGGGCATGACCCTGGTTCTGGTTCTGGTTTTGGTGCGAAACCGACACTCTGACAATTTCAATTCCATTTTAACTGATTTTTTTTTTTTTTGTAAAATTCTATGTTCTATTTTTAAATGATCCAAATTCAATAATTAATTTTTTTTATTTAGAATTTTTTAAAAATGATTATATCAAATATTTAAACTTCTCTCTCTTACTCATCTCTACAAAAACTAAATAAAATCTCCAATTAATGAGTTTGCTTTAAGGCTATCCCATTAGAAGGATTTTCACAGTTTTTGAGAAAAATTTTGGCACGTGAAAGAGAGAGAAGATAAAATGTTTCTTGCAAATATAAGGTTTTTGCATAAATGTGGGATCCACTTTGCCATCCTCTCTCAATCTCTCTTTTGTGTGTTGTAGAAATATGGGGTCCACTTTAATTTTTTTTATTATTATTATAAAATTAATTTTATTGTTTTTTTTCTCTTCCATCACATTTTCTCTTTTCTAATCACCTCCTCAAAAATCACAACAAAAACCCCACTATTGAGGATTAAGTGATTTTTGCACCTTAATGGTGTCCACACGGCCACACCCCAACCCAGCATAATTTTGAAGGAAACACGTCCACGCCCCAACCCCGCATAATTGTGAAGGAATAAATTATAGTAACTCTCACGCGTCCGATTCCAACTTGGTAAAATAAATTGTGGAGGAATAAATCATAGTGACTCAAGTTGATAGTAACTTAAGTGGAAGGGCCCACATTGCAGCTGCCAATTGTCATGGCAGCCCATTAGGTGAGAGGACTCACACTGATGCACTATAATTGATAAGGCAACTCATTAGGTGACCTGGAAGGATTCATACTGCGGTTGTTGGGAGGATTCATACTGCGGTTGTTAGGGCTCGATCTTCCTTCTTTACCCATAATCTGCCATGTATGAACCAACTCAACTACCCCTGTGGACACCTTTTTGTTTTTGTTTTTCGTTGAAATGAAGGAGAGCATTGAAAAGAGGACAATAACAACGGTAGGACACTCCTAGTGTTATAATTATCTTCCAACAAAGTGAAAAACAATGTCAAAGAGCCTTTGATATGGTTAAAATTACTTATTGTTGTGTGATATGGCAGTGGCACTGGACTAGTGCAGTACAATTATACTGGCTTCCATACAAAGAATTGAACAAGAGTGGTACCATAATGATATATATAAAGTTGCCTACTTCTCCCTAAAACCCTTAAAAAAGAATGTAAATATACAGGAATGGAACTATGAGCAAATTGCTGCTCTGGGCTAGCTTCTGACTCCATCGAATCAAAGGGAATGCGTGTCACGCAAAAATCTTTCAATCGAGCTGAGGAACTATAAGGAAGAAGAAGAAGAAGACGATGCTGCAGGCAAATCCTTCCCCACTAAAAGGGGCTCGAGTTTGAGATGTGCTGCTGTCAAAAGCGGGGGGCCAATGCTGCACCGAGCTGTGTTGTGTAACTCGATAGCATCTCTTACTTTCTGAAACTGCACAAACATCATAACATCGATTTTAGCAAAAAATCAAGAAAAAAAATTCAAAAAATCAAGAAAAAAACAAATTTAAGGAAGAAATTCAGAATGCGAGTGGAATCAAGCAATTTGAGCCAGCAGTAGCAGAAAGGAAATGTATATAAGATGTGTGACTTACTTTGGCAAGTGAGCAAGTGAAGGACTCCAATTGTCCATCGCTCCCGCGATAGAAGTGGAAATATGGAAGGACCCTTACGTTCAAATTCTTGCACATAGGTTTGTTTTCATCGAAATTTACTTTTAGGAACAAAATTTCGCGGTGCTCTTGTGCTGTTCTACAAAGCTGAAACGAGAGAGCAACAAACGACATCAGATTCTTAAACTTTTTTTGGAGAAAGAAAGCTATTTGTGTGTTTTGAGTGCACTCTACATTCGAATGGGCAAATTACCCGCATAATCATAGATTTCGTTCCTGGTGATCTTTACTTCTTTAATTTAACCACACACATACAATCCTTAATTTTCTTTTAAAGGGTGGAAATAAGTGAAAGTTCACCACAAAACTCTAAACATCTAAAGGTTCCACCATACTAGAAAGCAGTTGAATCCATTTTATGAATCTTCCATCATAACTTGATACATATGGAACAAAAACTAACCTTTGGAAACAGTGCTTTGCAAGATGCACACCAGGTGGCGTAGAATTCAACGATTACTAGTCTATCTCCAGCCTGACTTAAAGCATCCAAGAATTCTTGCGTAGAATGAATGTCAATCATGTTTGGCCCTGCGTTTCTCTCCCACCATTTAGGAGCCTGGGCTTGAGCAAGAGTCGCATGTACCTGGTTAAAATCCACCAAGAACTAAGCAACCACCACAAAGTGAGGTCTTTCGAGCAAATATATCAGTGATATACATGCATTGCACTTGTTCGTTGTGCATTAAACTTGACAAACATCAAAGATTAACCTTTTTTTTCTAAGTGTGAAACATATTGATTAGCCAAATAGTTGGTCAATTCAAAAGATCTTGCAGACCAAGAAAAGGTCATTTTAGTGTCTGCTTAGAAAGTCTCCATGACGGCAACCCAGCCAAGTTGGTTAGGATGTTGATTAGGTAACTACAAAGTTACAAGTTCTACTCTGGGTGAGAGCTGTTTATTGAACTTCTTGGTTTGAGCTGGTCAGCTATGAGCAACCTAGATCGATTAGGGTCACAGGCCGAAATTTACCATATACACACTATCGGGCAGTGGTTGCGGGTTTCCCTCATCACCCAAAAAAGTCTCCATAAGTTTCATTAACATCAAGTTTGCATAGTAATACTAAGATCAGAACATCAGATCATGTAAAAACATAAATCATCTCACAAAAAGGCAAAAGATTTATTTTTTTTAGAAAATTGTGGATCATCTAAAAGGCTAACTTAAGCAAAATAGTGATGAGTATTAATCCTATGGATCTGAGCAAAACCAATCCTGAACAGATGCACAAACTCACTCCTCTCCAGAAAACTGAAAGAACACTATGCATCGCCTAAAGATTTCATTTGAAATTATGAATCCGACAAAAAATTCTCCAGAATTCAAGAAAACCCTGGATAAAGCACAAGTCTTTACCTCAAAAAGAGGGAATCTCTTTGCGGGTGTGGAGGCAAATCCTGGAAGAAATTCACCAGAAGTGGAAGCACAATCTGAAACAGAACCAACCCTTCTCTGCGATCTCTGATTAGGCGCAGCAAGAGGAACACTCGACTGCCCAGTATTCACAGAAGAACAAAAAGAGGCGACACTCAAAGGAAACCCAAGCGTCCCAGCCATGAAAAGAAAAAGTGAAAGAAAAAAAAAGATCTTTTCTTATTAAGCTCCTGAGATTATTTTTTTTTTAATTCTTTGTGAGTTAGTATTTCTGGGATATATATAGTGTGTGTGATTCTATCAAATCAATGAAAAGGATTGGCAGTGTGAAAAATGGAAGCCCATTGGAAACGACGAGTCTTTAATTGGTTTTGATTTTTGGTTTGAAGTGGCGAGGGTTGATCAGGAAGGAATTGAATTCCCACGAGATTCAATTTGTGTGAACCATATTGCTCAAGATTAGTGCAGGTGGACCGGTAAGCTCTCAAGATATTGGTGATTCCCTTTTTGGCGTTTTCGCTGCTATCTCCGCGTTTGGATGCATAATTCATGCATGCAATCTTCTGTTCCAACTTTGTTACCTCCTCTAATTTCCAATCCATACAAATTTTAATTTCATAAACTTTTTATAATCGCTACATAAAGGTGCATTCTAGAAAGTCAGCCTTACCATTTTAGCTGGCAAATGACTATAAAAGATAAACTAGTCTAGCTAAATGTCAATAAACAGTTCTCACGAAGAAGTATGTTATGAATGTCAATAGACATCTTTAACGGAAAAGTGTACTTTGAGAAAGTCATCGTTATAATCTTAGCCAACAAAAGATCATAAAAAGTAAATCAGTATAGATGAATGTCAATAGACAGCTTCCGTGGAGAATCGAACGTGAAAACAAAATAAAGAAATTATCCATTGCACGATATCGTATTAGAAGGCTACAAGTTCACTTTTTGCTAATATCTTCTCAATTGAACACCCTCTCGGTTGAATTTATCTCACAAAAATCTTTGTGGTACGGTTTACCTCTCATGTGTGGTTTAAGACTATTACACAAAAGCATAATTTACGCAATATACACCACCACCTCATCACCTAAAAAAAGTTATTATTATTTTTGTGATTTTGTGATGGGTATAACCATTCAAAACTACTAAATATTCAATGGAGGGGAAGTATGGGAATCATCAAAAGGATGGCATGAATATCATTTTCACAGCTTCTATGGTTGCAAATTTGCATACCTTTCCTGTTTAAGAACTTTCCCGAATTCCAGATACATACAAGTCAAACAGCATTCACCTCAATAATAACCACACATTTGTATGTTCATGTTATTTAGCATGTGAGCCTTTAAGAAAATGTGTTTTGTAACTTCTACCATTCACAATTTCACATAGACCGACAACCCGACAGGACACAAAGAAAGGTCTTCGTCACTTTTGATCAGTCAAGGTTTCCCAATAACTTCCTTCAGGTGCCCGGTGAGATTCGAAACCCCACACTGCCATTAGAGCAAGACTTTTGAGTGATCGATCGAACCAACTAAGCTAGCTCCCCGTGGTAAATTGAGACGTTTTTAACTTTAGCGACTAAAGAATACAAATAGATCAAATGTTTAGAGCATTATACTGTCATTTCATTCTTTCTCTATATTGGCAGCAAGAGTTATTATGAACACAAGATTCACATTCAGAACTCAGAAGCCAGTCCTGCAAAAACTACAACAACATACTTCATAAGAAAGCAAATAACATGATGCCATCATTTTACCGACCAATTCATAACGATGATGTTATGTCCTCGACTCAGATAAAAACGACTATTTCTTCTGTTACTTCTCATACATGACAAACCCTACTACGAGTTCATCTTTGACGATTTTCACTTCTTCAGAAAACACACATCAGACATGTCTAACTTGCTTAAATAGGCCAACTAGTCTTTGAATGACTGGTTGGGTAAAAGAACTTCATCTGGAAACGACACTGTCCCATTATTTTCTGCACCATCTATGTTCAGTATTGTCGTGACCAAATTGTATATCTGAACATTCTCAAAAGATGGAATTTTGCGGCCCCTGGCAAACTGAGGTCCGTGTGCAATAAAAATGGTCCTCATCGAGAAGAATGCGTTGTCATAGCCATGTGCGCCACCACATTCTGCAGTTTTTGTGTTTGTCTGCTCAACCTTAAACGCTTCATCAACTAGCCCAATGATCGGAGGAATCCGATCACTGTCAGAATAATGCAGCCTACTAGGCAGCTCCTCCTTAAGAGAAACCTTCAAATACTGCCCATTATTAGCTGACTTTAACCCCTCGTTCATCTTGGAAACAACATCCTTAGCTGAGTAATTAGCTGGTGGACGAATGGCAAGCAATGGAGTATAATATTGGATCCAATCCTCGGGAATTTTAATCCAGGGAGCCAAATCATCTAAAAAGATTAGCTTTTTATCACATGTGCCTACCATCCCATGATCACCCAGCATTATAATGGAAACATCCTCAAAAATTCCTCGTTCTTCCAAACCTTGAATCAACCTCCCAATCAAACCATCGATCCTACCAACAGCCTCGGTGATCTGAGGATCATCGGGCCCTACTTTGTGACCCTGGTGATCAGGGTCTTCAAAATACAACGTCATAAACGAAGGAATTTCATCATCAGGCAGATCAAAATACTTCAACACAGTATCAACTCTATCCTCAAATGGCACAGAACCATCATACTGCTTACAATAAAACTCAGGGCAAGTCCAAGAACCTTTATGTACCTCAGAACCGGGCCAGAAATAAGTTGAAGCTTTCAAACCATGATTCACCACAGTCTCCCAAAGCGGCTCGCCTAGCCACCACTTGGGTTCATGGCTTTTCATACTGAAAGCCTGGCCAGTGTTAGGATCAAGAAAGTAATTATTCACAATCCCATGATAAGCAGGGTATAAACCAGTCACAATTGAGTAGTGATTGGGAAAAGTTAAAGTTGGGAACACTGGGATTAAACCCAATTCAGCCTCAGTCCCATTCTTGATCAATCTATCAATATTTGGAGTCTGGGTTTTGTACTGATACCCAAACCTAAACCCATCACAGGAAATCAAGAGAACAACTGGGTGCTTGAGCTTTGTGAGTGGTCTGGCCACATCAGAAGAAGATGAGGACTTGATAGAGGAGAAGAACAGAAAGGCAAAAGCAATAGCTGCAGAAACAGCAATGCAAGTGGTGGCCATTAGAGCAGTGAAAATCAGGGCAGTCGAAGTGGGTTTTGAATTGAAAGAGATCAAGCCTGCGGTTGAGTTGGGAGGGTCTTCTTCTTCATTTGCAGGAATTAGGGTAGCCCCATTGTTTGATGACAACAACGAGGCTGAATCTGAACCCATCACACACAGAATCAAATCGCCGAAACCACAACGGATATTCAAATCAGAGATCCTGGTTATCTGGGAAGTGCCACTCTGACTCCCAAAACAAACGAAACCACTCAAAAAGATGCAATTTTTAACAAAGTTTCAGCTTACCTGCAACTGGGAATGCTTCCAAATCTCTCTCACAAAGCAAATACTTAAACTTTTCTTGAAAATGTGTGGTGGGGTTTCGTGATTTTCCTGTTGAGGATGATACTGAGTGAGAAACCGATGCCTGCTCGCTTGATTTGTTGAAGACCACTCTGTAATACTGCAAATTAAGAATTTTTTTATTTATCAAAAATGACTTTAAATTTTGATAGAAGAAGTAAATCCAGTAATCCATATGTTTAACAACTTTAAATTTTATATTATATCTTATCTTATCACGAGACTTGATGATTGAAATAATTTACAATTTAATTTTTTATAATATTAAATTTAAAATTAATATGTAAAAAATATGTATTTTAAAATAACATTAAAAATATTATTAAATATAAAAAGTTAAATTTTGAGAAAATAAAAAATTAAATTTAAAAATTATAAGTAACTAATAATAATAAACAAACAATTCCAATTAACAAGAATCCAATTGCTCCGCAACATATGGTTTTTTTTATCGTGATCTGAGTTTGGCCTCCGATCGTGGCTCTTTCTCTTGGTAGTGCCCAAGAGGGTTTCTCCCTAGTGATATAGGGCTTATATTTAAGCGTGGTTTGATGGATTATTCGTGGTATATCTTTTCGTTCCTGTTAATCTTTGCCTGTCGCTTTCCCTGTTACGACATGGATCTCCGACAAATTGAGGATCGATGTGCAGAATTGACGCTCGCAGAGGAGGAGACCGGCGGCATGGAGGCTCCTGATCATCAGCCGATCCCCGATGCGGCGATTTGTCACAATCTGGAGGGGTGATTCCTGACGGAGAGGCATATAAAATTCGAATATATGCAACAGGTGATGGCCTCTGTTTGGAGGCCGGTGATGGGCATGCATGTGACTCCTTTGACGGAAGAATTGTTCCTGTTCCAATTCCCTCATTCGAAGGATCTGCAACGTGTGCTAGATGATGACCCGTGGACTTTCGAGAACCACACCTTTGTCTGCGAGCAAGTTCCTCGGGAAACTAAGACGGAGGAAGTCAAATTGGAGTTCATCCCTTTCTGGGTCCAGGTACACGGACTGCCGACAGTGTATGCATCTCCAGATTTCTTGGCGCAGATTGGAAATTATGTGGGGAGATTTGTCGCAATCAACCCACTCAATTTTGGCGGATCTTGGAGAAGCTTTTTCAGAATCAGGGTCCGTATGAATGTTGCTTCCCCGTTGAAAAGGCGAATGAAACTGGTTCGCAAGGATGGCTCGACACAATCGATCTCGTTTCGGTACGAACGACTGAGCACGTTCTGTTTCTGTTGCGGGATCCTTGGGCATTCGGATAAATTTTGCAGGCGAGTCTATGAAGATGGCATCTTACCTGAGGCGTTTCCGTTCGGTGCGTGGCTGAGGGCGGGTCAGAGGAGACAAGTGAAGCCTGTGGGGGCCAAGTGGCTGTTGGCATCCTCTTCACTGCAGCCGATGGAACCTTCTAATGTTGTTACAAGGCCGCTTCCGCAGGCAGTGATGGCCATGGAGGAGAATGGAGGACTACAGGGGGATTTAAAACGACGTAGGGAAGAGACTGGTACATCTGGAGAAACTCACGAGGAGGATGTTACGATGGTGGAAACCACAAAAAACTTGTTGACGGCGGGCCTGGTGGACCAGGTTCGCCAAGCCAAATGAGCATTCTGAGCTGGAACTGCCGGGGTTTGGGTGGCACCCGGGCAGTTCAGGAACTTTTGGGCATGGTGTCCAAACAGCGACCCTTCTTCGTCTTTCTAATCGAGATGAAAGCAAAAGGAGATCTAGTGGAGCAGGTGAGAGTGAAATTGGGGTTCGAAGGGGTGGTTACAGTGGACAGACAGGGGGTACAAGGGGGCGGGCTTGCGTTGTTCTGGAGGGATTCTGAGGCGGCTTCACTTTTGAGTTACTCAGATCACCACATAGATTTGGAAGTATCTATACCCGGTCAGACTACATGGAGGCTCACCGGCATTTATGGCAGTCCAGAGAGATCACAGAGACAGGACACTTGGGATTTGCTTCGACAGCTTAGCCACGAATCGGCATTGCCTTGGATTGTCGTTGGCGATTTCAACGATATATCCTGTCCATCAGAGAAGTGGGGGATTCATCCCCACCCGAATTCACTGATTCAATGATGCTTTGGGCGATTGTCGTTTGCATGATCTTGGGATGGTGGATGGCAATTTTACATGGGTTAAGGGTCGGGGAACAGAATCATGGGTAGAGGAACGGCTGGACAGGGCGATAGCAACGGTGGAGTGGATGGAAATCTATGAAGAAGCAGTGGTCCGTAATCTCTTTACGATTAACTCCGATCATAATGCTATTTTAGTTGATACGGATTCACGTCCAGTTCGGGCTGCAATGCGTTCTTTCCGGTTTGAGTCCGCATGGCTGCTAGAGGAGGGCTTTGCGAAGGTGGTTGGCGAGGCCTGGCATCAGTCCACGGGGATGAATTTCCAGCAACGCATTGCGTTGTGTGGCCGGCGGCTCTGGCGATGGGGAGGGGAGCACTATCAACGGTTCGGGAGTCGAATCAAGGACCTGCGTAGTTCGGTGGAACGGTTAAAAGAAGATCGAAGTCCGCAGGCATCTGACGAGCTTTTATTGGCACGCGGGGAACTAGAGTTGTTGATGCAGCAGGAAGAAGTCTTTTGGAGACAACGATCGAAGCAGCTATGGATGAAGCACGGTGATTCAAACACCAAGTATTTCCATAAAACCGCCTCTGCACGTAGGCGCCGGAACCTTCTGCTGCGCGTAAAAGACCCGGGCGGGACGTGGAAAGAAGGAACCGTTATGCACACGGAAATATTGAGGTATTTTAATGAAATTTTGTGTTCCGAAAACAGCAACCCGGGACTGTTTCACTGTGTCCAGCGCGGGGTAACAGATGAGATGAATGGCGCATTACTGCAGCCATTCACAATTGATGAGGTGAAGGCCGCTTTATTCTCCATGGCCCCGGAGAAAGCTCCTGGGCCGGACGGCATGTCGCCGGCCTTTTACCAACATTTCTAGCCTATTTTGGGACATGATCTTGCTGTTTTTGTTATCAATTGTGTGGTGTTTAAGAGTGTGCCAGAGGGTCTTAATGCCTCCAATATTGTGTTCCTGCCTAAAAAGAAAATCCCGGAAAGAGTGTCCGATCTACGTCCGATTGCTCTGTGTAATGTGATATATAAGATATTGGCCAAGATGTTGGCTAATAGAATGAAGGGGAGTCTGACACAGGTTGTGTCTCAATCTCAAAGTGCAATCGTGCCAGAGAGGCTTTTAACTGATAATATTATTTTGGCGAGTGAAATTGGGCATTATCTGAGAAAGAAGACCAATGGGGTTGTGGGATGGGTGGCGCTTAAGCTAGACATGGCTAAAGCGTACGACCGTATGGAATGGGCGTTCCTAGAGGGGATGCTGGGGGCACTGGGATTTGATAGAGGGTGGATAGAGTTACTGATGTTGTGCGTTTCAACAGTAAGCTATTCTATACAGGTGAATGGGGAGGCCGTAGGCACGGTTTGTCCCACTCGGGGTATTAGGCAAGGGGACCCGCTATCCCCTTATCTATTCATTATATGTGCCGAGGGTCTATCCATCCTTCTCCAACAGGCGGAGGCAAGGGGGGACATTCATAGTGTGCGTGTGTCTCGGGGGGCTCTGGCCATAACGCATCTATTCTTTGCTGACGACAATTTACTGTTCTTCAGGGCCAATCAACAGGAAGTTATGAAAATTAAGGAGTGTTTGGACCGTTATAGTGAGGCATCAGGACAGCGGGTTAACTTTGACAAGTCAATTGCAGTCTTCAGTTTAAACACAGTTGATGCAATGCGATCTTTGATTTCGTCATGCCTTGGGGTGCGTATGGCCACTGACTTAGGCCGTTATTTGGGTCTCCCATCAGTCCTTGGTAGAAATAAATCGGCCACATTTCGATATATCGAAGAGAAGGTACGGGAACGTATTGGGTCGTGGCAAAATCATTTTCTGTCGAGAGCAGGTAAGGAGGTCTTGCTCAAAAGCATCGTGCAATCTATGCCTATTTTTACTATGTCGACTTTTCTATTACCACTCCGTACATGTGATATACTTGAGAAATTATTCAACCGATTTTGGTGGGGTGGCGGTGCAACAGGAAGCAGGGGAATTCATTGGACAAATTGGAGAAAATTATGTGAACCGAAACTGAGAGGTGGCCTGGGGTTCAAAAGACTGCACGAATTTAACCTCGCTCTTCTTGCAAAACAAGGATGGCGCATTGTAATCCATCTCGACTCGTTGGTGAGCAGGTTGCTGAAAGCCAAATACTTCCCGAATTGCGGCTTCATGGAGGCAAAAATAGGGGGCATTCCAAGTTATATCTGGCGCAGTATCCTCGCTGGGCAGGAAGTGTTGAAGTTGGGGTTAGCCAGACGAATCGGCGACGGTGTGGACACCAAAATCTGGGGATGGCCTTGGCTTGCGAACTCCTCCAACCCGGCGATCAATACTCCATGCGTGGATGAACTACAAGATGCTAGGGTGAGTGGTTTACTTACTGATCGCGGCTGCTGGGATGCAGAAATTGTGTCCGATATTTTCCAAGTCGAAGACGTCCAACGTATTTTAACCACTCCGGTTAATACCCAGTTCAAGGATTCATGGCGGTGGTTAGGAGATTTGCGGGGGATGTACACTGTGAAGCATGGATACCGTCTTATTACGTCCATGGAAGGGCAGGATGATACCAATGTGAGTCCTACGGCCTGGAAAAAGTTATGGTCACTGCCGGTCCCTCCAAAGGTGAGAAATCTACTTTGGCGGTGTGCTCGTGGGGTGTTACCAGTGCGCAAAAACTTGAAATTGAAGCGGGTGTGGATTGGCGGAGGATGTCCACTGTGCGGCTTCTATACCGAGACTGTTAAACACTTGTTTGGGGAATGCAATTATGCGAGAGAGGCTTGGGGAGAGGATGGTGTTTTACAAGGAAGGAACTTGCAACAATTTATGGACCAGTATCTCGGATTAGTCAATGCGGATCAAGCCGTTAATTTTGCTGCCATCTTTTGGGTAATCTGGGAGATGAGAAACGATGCGGTGTGGCGAAATGTTTCGCCGAATTTGGCGGGAATGTGTGTGCGTGTAGCTGAACATATTACGAGCTGGAAAACAAGTTTCCGCAGGGGAATGAGTTTGGATGGTCACACAGGCAGTGTGGCTATGTGGAAACCCCCTCCAACTCATATGTTAAAATGCAATGTGGACGCGGTTGTGTTCTCGAACGGAGCTGGGATTGGGGCTGTCGTGAGAGATCACGGGGGACGCTTTGTGGCAGTTAGAAATGGTAGCATACCGGACAGTAGCGACCCCCTAATGGCGGAGGCAATTGCGGCCAAGGAAGCATTAACATGGATCAAGAGTCTACACTATGACAATATTATTTTAGAGTCTGATTGCTTAAATTTCTGTAATGCTTTTAATTCGCGTAATTTTGATTATTCGTACGTAGGTCTGATTGTTAAGCAATGTCGGTGTATTGCTAATGACATCGGTAACATCCGTGTTTGCCATGTCAAGAGATCAGCGAATCGAGTAGCTCATGAGCTAGCACGGGCAACCGATTCTTCGACTGTCTCTAGAACGTGGGATTTTATCCCGCCGCTTTATATCTCGAATTTGTTGAGCTATTAATGAATTAGTTACGGTTTGTTTCAAAAAAGAAAAATAATAATAAACAAAGAATAAAGAGTTATAAATAAGAGAGAGGAACTAACGTTTTTGGAAATATGTTTTTTTCGGTGAGAAATAAATGACGTCGTTTCCGTCTACATTGCTCACAGTTGACTGCCCTCTATTCTTCTTCTTCCTCGTCTAGCAAAATACCAAAACCCCAACCAGCTTTACCTTACGAGAACCCAAAACGCCAAACGACAGCGTTTCAATCGCCTTCGACGTCCCTCTTTTCACTGCGGGGGGAAAGAGAGAGAGAGAGAGAGAGAGAGAGAGAGAGTTGATCAAGATTCAAGAATGGCGGCGTATATGAGTATGGGAGAAGCACACAGGCGAATCACAGAGTACCTAAACCGCTTCAGCGACGCCGTTTCGTCTCAAGACGGCAAATCCCTCAGCCGGCTCTTCTTCATATCCTCCAATTCCTCCTTCCTCCTCTCTCTATCCGATGCTCTCAACACATTCCAGGTATATTCCATGTCTATATATGCATTCTAATGCACTATGCACAGACACTAAAATGCTTTTTTTTTTCTTCTTTATAAACATTGACAGTTCATACTCTGAAGGGTAGGTGGATTTTGTTGTAAAGTTCTTTGCTTTGCTGTGATTTGGACAATAAAAAATAAGTATAGTAGTTTTTTGTCTCTCTGAAATCATTTAAATAGCTCTTGAAATAGGTTATCTGGTTGAACTAGATAGGTTCACATCCCTTTATAGCCATAGAATTTCACTCTGGGATATGAAATATTTATTTTGGAAGTTTTACATTGGAACTAGATAGCTCATGGACTGTTTGGAAGTGAATTTGTGTTTGCAATTTGATCATGATAACAGTGTATCGTTTTATTGGCAAAGAAGCAAACTTACAATGCAATATCCTAGCCCGTTTAGTAAACTATGAGCTCCACTTTTTCATGCATTACCGCATTTTGCTGAGTTATATTTTATAGCAAAGTAGGTGTATTTGAGACAGAGCCTTTATCCATACAAATGCTCGAGAACTTCTAGATTTGGTGTGTGCAACGCGTAATTGATTGAAGATTTTTGTTGTCTGTATGCAACAGGATGCTAGTAGAGTGATTAGACAATCAGAGTGTTCTCAGTATTCAGACCTACTGCTTCCTTTATTCCGTGCTTTCCAGAGTTATAAACTCAATAATTTGGTCGAGACATACCAGGCTTTTGAAAAATCTGCCAAGTATGTGAAGCTTCTTATCTGATTTCACCATGTTTAGCTCGAGTTTCTATTATGCTCACATTGAGGATATGATGTGATACAGTTCATTCATTCAAGAGTTTCGCAACTGGGAATCAGCCTGGGCTTTGGAAGCACTTTATACTGTAGCATATGAAATTAGAATTCTTGCTGAAAGGGTAAGACTAATGTTTCTTTGCTCTTCATTTTTTTATTTAGATGAATTGACGTGAAGTATTGATACATGGTAGTGAACTTGTAGGCGGATAGAGAGCTGGCTTCCATGGGAAAAACCCCTGAGAAATTGAAAGGGGCGGGATCATTCCTCATGAAAGTGTTTGGGGCACTTGCGAGTAAAGGGCCCAAACGAGTTGGAGCATTATATGTGACATGCCAGCTTTTTAAGATTTATTTCAAGCTTGGAACAGTACACTTGTGTAAAAGTGTAACGAGAAGTATTGAAACTGCTCGGATTTTCGATTTTGAGGAATTTCCTCTCAGGGATAAGGTCACTTACATGTACTACACGGGTCGTTTGGAGGTCTACAACGAAAACTTTCCCACTGCTGATCAAAAGTTGTCATATGCCCTGGCACACTGCGATCCTCAAAAAGAGGGAAATGTAAGGTCTGTTAAGGTGCACTTCTTATTTCAAATATAACTAGCACGTATCCAATAATCTTCTGGTTTTATTTAAGAAAAATTATGTGGTTTAAGTTGATTTCACGTCCACTTAAAGATGCGTATTTAAAAATTATTGACAGGATGATACTCAAATATCTGATACCTGTGAAGCTTTCAATAGGAATCTTACCTAAAAGTTTACTCCTTGAGAAGTATAATCTGAATGAGGTACATGTCTCTTATTCATAGTTAGTTTACCTAAAAACTCAATTAGAACGATGGGGAGATCTAAAGTTCCATTCCATCGATAGATATGCCAGTTCTTGATTTTCTAACACAATCTATATAATTTACATTCATACAGTACAGTAACATCGTGCTTGCTCTCAGAAGGGGTGATCTTCGTCTTCTTCGAAGTGCTCTACAGGAGCATGAAGACCAGTATGTTTACTTTGTCCTGGTTTATCTGCAAATGAATCAATTTTTTTTTTATTTTCTACCTACAAGTTTGATCCTTATATTACATGCCTATGATTAGGTTCTTGAGGTCTGGTGTTTATCTTGTCTTGGAGAAGCTAGAGCTTCAAGTTTATCAGAGGTTAATGAAGAAGATGTAAGTTCAAATATTAACGGAGTTGTCCTTTGTCCCATTTTTTTTTTTTTTAATCTTGGAAATTTGCTGACTAGAAAACTACCGTAAATGTTTTGGCAGCTACATTATACAGAAGCAAAAGGATCCTAATAAAGCTCACCAAATTAAGCTAGATTTAATTGTAAAAGCCCTGAAGTGGCTTGAAATGGACATGGATGTGGATGAGGTATTTCTCTTTTTACTTTTTCTTTAAACGTTTTGATTTTCGTTCCTCTGACACTGCTAAATTTTAATTGTTGCTTCGCGTTGTACAGGTAGAATGCATAATGTCCATTCTAATCTATAAAAATCTTATGAAAGGCTATTTTGCTCACAAGAGCAAAGTGGTAGTTTTGAGCAAGCAAGATCCCTTCCCCAAATGGACAGGTAAACCGGGCAATTTATAGAGAGATGTAGTGGCTCTCGGTGCAGAATGAGTCCCAAGAAGTTATGGCACTAGTCGGAAATAAGCTATCGCATTCCTCCCGAGCAACAACATCATGATGATGCAAAAGCCATTCTGCAAGGAATATTGGAGATCCCTTTATGGGAAGGCCATTCTGACATGAAATTGATCATAGTTGTAAACAAACCATGCTATATATTGCTTCATTTTTGTTTGTATTCACATGAAACATTTCCTAAGTTCCGAAGTAGCTATCTCTATCCTTTGTGATTGCTTTCTTTAATGATCAGTTTCCAGATTCTGACACTAAATAAAGACTTGACATTTTCAATTTTGTGCAAGTCTAAATGCAAGAATGTAGAACTACATTTGGGAGCATCAACATTAAATTTCCCAGTGGTCAATCCCCTAGGATCATATCAAGAAATGTAAAAATGTGTGGTCTTATTAAGTGGCAAGAGAAATTCAAATTCACTATTCGAGAGTGGACACTGCTTAAAACTCACAATCACTATTCGATGGTGTATACTACTAAGTACCCTAACGGGCAAAAGGATTACAAAGAAATACGTTAGTTACTCAATTAGCAAAAGGTTAATGAGTTGCTCCCAATGTCTTTACTCTTTATTTTTGTAGAGGCAAAAAAAGGAGACAAAAGAGCAAAAGGTGGAAGAATAGATTATGTTTTTACATATATAGGATATGGGAAGCAGATGGAGAAAATTGGCAACCCTAGAATAAACCTATGTAAAAAATATGACAAATAAGTTGACTCTTACACAAACACAAAAATGTTAATGAAGAACACAAGGTTTGCTCTACAAGAAAAACATGTATATTTAGTTTTTAAGCTTCATTAGCAGGAGGAAGCATGTTTTCTATGTTTGATGGCATTAGGGTGTTGAAACCATCGGCTGCAGTGGATATAATCATTCCTGGAATCTGGGAATGCCAGTGAAGTTCCTTCAAGTCTTTCTGACCCTGTTATTAGGCACAACTCAGTGGTGAGAATAAAGTTTGGTGAATATATACAAGTTTTCACACATCAGATGGAGGACAAAGTATAACCTGATGAACAAAGAGGAGTTGTGGTGGCAAATCAGTAGGGGCATTCACTTGCTCCTTGGTTTTTGCTTTGAACTCTGCTTCCTCTTCCTCATCTCTTTCTAAAGAAAGGTCCCATATTCTGTGGATTTAAATGAAAGTAAAAGAGTTGTGGCAAATCAGTAAAAGGCAATCACGTCAAAAATTGAATCATAAAGAGACAAATATATAGAACAATATGTATGTATTGGGCCCTTACGTTAGTTGATTGTCCGATGACGTAACTGCCAGTGTTGATGCTTCATGTGGACTCCATTCAATAGATGTTATGGGGTGTTTATGGTACTCAAAGTGGGCAACTACAGCATCTCCTTCCTGTGCAGCATTAAAAAAAAAGTAATGACAAATATTTGATTAAGGATAGTATATATTACAATTAAATGATTAATGATTATCAGATCAAGGGGTTGAACAAAACTATGGTGTGCCAAAGTACACTGTGCTTGATGCACCGTGATAACACACCAAGTGAACATTTAGTTCATTCAATGTAGACAAGGATTATCAATGCCACAGAAGCAGAATGTGTCATACCTTGAGTAATCTAAGATCTCGAATGGAAAATGTTCCATCATCACTTCCAGATGCCAGCATACAACTTGCCAACCTAATACAAACCAAAAAAGTAAATAAAAGCTAAAAAAAAATGCTGTGAAGTAGCAAGTAAGATAATGTTTATAGACCTGTTCCAGGATATAACATTCACATCAGCATTGTGTGCCTTTATTGTTGCTGCAGGAGATTTTCCAATGCGTATATCCCATATTGCAATATTTTTATCCACAGAGCAAGACGCAAATACAGAAGGTTCTGTGGGGCTCCACTGTGTAGGAAGTAGAAAGTAAATTGTTTAGATAGAAATGCAAAAAATTGATAATAAGTGTGGGGAAATTTCCCCATCCAGAAAATTGCAGGCCCAACACATCAAACAATCCCAGGCCTTATAAGGAGAGGCACCTGTAGGTCTTCAACACTTGCAATGTGTCCAACAAAAGGTT